AACTAGCATATCTTAAGGTCTAATGGAAGAAAATGACACTCTAACCCAAAATGTGTTATGGACAATTTTCTCCTGATCTACGAGACTTTAAATAATTGTTTTCTATTCATTTCTGTATACGATAACAATTTTAAGAAGTTATTCACGTTGTGATTCAAAATTATTAGCCCAATTTAATAGAGAATCAGAATAAGTTTGTGAGACACAAAAGTACTTTCACAGAACAGTAGAGGTCAAAGAACAAATGACTCAGCCTTTGAACTCATGGTTAAACGATAATTGCATAGTTAGATGGAATTGTCAGGGAGTATAGACTCATGAATCTTTATACCTTCATCTATTTCCCCCTACTGGTTGTAAATACCATAGCTTTCCAGAACATTATTATTTTGCTGTGGTAATAGAGTATCATCTCTTCTCAACTTGGCTATAAATTCCTTGATAGATGGGAGGTAAATTCAGAAATAAAACTGTGTTTAAATAAGGTTCAACATAATGTTTCGCAAAGAGAATTTACCCCTACTAATCCTATATTCGTTATTATGGTTTATTTAAAGGAATTCACTTACAGTTAAGTATTGTGACTAGAAGTCCATCTCTGCTCCATTTTTCAACCTTACCTAATGACAGAGAAAGGTTTTGCAAAGAAAATAAATTTACATATATAAATATATATGTGCATATTTTCTATGTTACATTATATATGTATATATACTAATGAGAGCCAGGCACTGGTGGCTCATGCCTATGATCCTAGCCACTCAGGAAGCTGAAATCTGAAAATCCCAGTCTGAAGCCAGTCCGTGCAGGAAAGTCCATGAGAGACTTATCTCCAATTAATCACCCAAAAGCTGAACATAGAGCTGTGGCTCAAGTGGTAGAGTGCTAGCTTTGAGCAGATAAGTCTAGAGGAGCATTCTCAGCCCCTGAGTTCAAGACCCAGGATTGGCATTAAAAAAAAAAAAAAAGATAGGACAAGAGATCCAGTGATCATCATATCTCATTAATCAAATATAAAAAGAATTTAGAGAGCAGGAGGATAGACAGGTAAATGTCAGGCCAGTGAAAGCTATATCTAATACCTATTAGGTGAAAAACCAACAACAAACAAATGAATTCCATGTTACAGAACTCTAAAAGGATTTGAGATTTTGAGACACCAGGTGTCTCTTGGGCCTAGAATATGGATGGGACTGAAACAGGTGGATTAATTAGTTAGAACTGTGTTGAAGCCCACATCACCTCTCTATATAAATAGCTGTTAACTGTAAACCAAATACAGCATTTGATGATGTTGAACCAGGACACTGGACTCAGAGACCTCAGGCATACTTCGAGATTTTTTTTTTTGGGGGGGGGTCCGGTCATGGGCTTGAACTCTGGGCCTGGGCGCTGTCCCTCAGCTATTCAGCTCAAGGCAAGCACGCCCCCACTTGAGCCGTAGCGCCACTTCCGGCTTTTTTTTTCTGGTTATGTGGTGCTGAGGAATCGAACCCAGGGCCTCTTGCATGCAAGGCAAGCACTCTACCACTGAGCCACCTTCCCAACCCCATACTTCGAGATTTTGTGCAGTATAAAACTGAAGACAGGATCCAGTAGCTCATGCCTATAATCCTAACTATTCAGGAGGCGGAGACACAGAGAATCAAGCAGTAAATCAAGCCCCAACAGAAAAGTCTATCAGATAGATAGGTAATTAGCAAAAGCTATTTGCTAGTAGCTTATATCTGTAACCCTAGCTACTCTAGAAGCTGAGATCTGATGATTCTAAACCAGCCCAAGGAGAAAAGACTCTTATTTCCAATTATCCAGAAAAAGAAAAAGTGAACAGTAAAGATATGGCTCAAGTGGTAGAGCACCATCCTTGATTAGAAAAGCTAAGGGAGAATTTGAGGTCTTGAAGTCAAGACTAACCTGATGTATTTTCTTTCTGAAGCTAAGAAGGAATATTTTATCATATCATACTAAAGCACTGTTGTTGCTAATAGTCAAAAAAAGTTCCCTTTTCAAAGTACAGTACATTAATTATATTAATGCTGAAGTAGCAGGGGAAGCAAATTGAAACATCCAATACTTTTATAAAAAAAAAGGGGGGAGGGGAATGTGTATCTAGTTTCCTGGAACTGACATAACAAAGTGCCACAAACTTAAAACAAATGTACTCTATCACAGATGTGTTGGTCACAAGTACAAGCTCAATTTCTTGTCAGGGCCAGGCTCCATCTGCAGCCTCTTGGGGAAGATTCTTCTTAGCTACCATAGCTTCAAGTATCCCTTAGTTTGGGTCAGTATAATTCCCTGGCATTCTTCTCTCTGTCTCTGTATCTCTTCTCTTTTTTTTTTTTTTTGTTTTATTTTGTTTCTGTCAGTTGTGGGGCTTGAACTCTGGGCCTGGGTGCTGTCCCTGAGCTCTTTAGCTCAAGGCTAGTGCTCTACCATTTTGAGTCACAGCTCCACTTCTGTTTTTCTGGTGGTTAATTGAATATTAGAGTCATGGATTTTGCTGCCTGAGCTGGCTTTGAAACATGATCCTCAGACCTCAGCCCCCTGTGTAGCTGATTACAAGCATGAGCCACTAGAGCCCAACTCTCTTCTTGTAAGGATATCAGTCATATTCCATTAAGGATTCACTCTACTGCATCATGACATAAACAGATACATCTTCAATGAGCCTATTCAAATAGAATCACATTCATAGCTACTGAGAGACAGGGCCTCTATCTTTTCAGATGCAACCCATAAATGGTTAGAAAATTCTGTAGCAAATGGTAGGGGGTGTGCTGGTCAGCTTACCATCACTGTAACAAAACACCTGAGATAAACCACTTAAAAGGAGGAAAAACTAGGTGTGGTGGTACTTATCATCCTAGCTCTCAGGGGCTGAGATAGGAGAATGAAAAGTTTGAGGCCAGGCTGAACTACATAGCAAGTTTCATATTACTCTGTTACTACATAGAAAATTCCTCCTTCTACCTCACTTTCCAATAAAAATGTTTATTTTAGCTTATGGTTTCAGTCCATGGTTACTTGGTACTGTTGCTTTAGGCCTGTGCAAGGCCCATGCTTCCCAAGAGGAAGCATGTAGTAATGGTGGCTGCTTATCACGTGGCAGCCCTGAAGCAGGGAGACAGAAAAGAGTCCAGAGTTCTACTATCACTTTTAAAAGATTCCTTTCCTTCCAATAAGGTCTAAAGGATGCACCACCTTGATAAAGCCATAGGCTAGTGACCAAGCATTTAGCATGCAGCCTTTGGGCTACATTTTAGATCTAAGTCATAATAGAGGGGATGGATAGGTTATTCTACATCTACCTAGCATCCACTTACATACTTTTCTCCAACACACATTTGCTGCTATGCTGCTAAATTTGAGGATGCAGGGGGAGGTAGCTCTGCAACTACTTCTCTGAAATGTAAATAAAATGTACTTATTTGTATTTCCCAACTTTGATGACCTATCTTATCACTGGACCTTATGAACACAGCCTGGGACCAGTTCCCTTTATACATGGAGCCAATATATAGTTTGTCTTTTCCCAGGTATACATAAAAACTTAAATCCAATCAATGTAACCTGATTCTGATTCTTATATACCAGGAGTCATTTGGTGTCATTTCCAGCCAAACACTATTTGTGGGTATTTTATTCTACCATCTGCATGTCAGTAAAAAATGGCTCAGGATTGGGAAGGGGAGTTTTTTGCCATCAGTTCCATCCATTTTTAGTTCTGGAATTTCAGCTTCTTGATTTTTTTTTCCCATGCACTTTCAACCCATTTATCCCCACCTGTCCTCCTCATTGTTTGTGGCTAAAATTTGCTGGGGTCCCTCAATGTCTAAAAACAATGGGGAAAGTTTAGGACTACATCTGATCTTATTTCTCTGTAGCTTTCAGAACTTACAACCATTCCAGAAAGAATGTGATTGGCTATTCCTTCCTTGTTTGAATGTTAAATTTTAATCTCCCTCCTAATTGTAAATGTTAAGATATATCAGAATGTTCTGATTTGGGCTATTTTCTTTTGTCATTATAAAAACCAAAAAAGGCTAAAATATGTTTTATAACTTTGAAATATATACAAAAGTAGAATGAACATCAATCAAGTGATCCTAAAACTCTTACAGAAATTCATAAGACCCAGAAGAGCCAAAACAATCTTGAAAAAGAAGACCAAACTTGGGGAAATCAGACTTCTTGATTTCGACTTCATACAGAGCTACAATTATCACACTACCATATTTCCTAACAGAAAGAGAAACACAGATAAATGGAATAGAGAGTGTAGATATGAATTCTCACATCTACAGTAAATTGATTTCTGGCATGGATACCAAAATAATTAGATGAGGCAGGAGCAAATGGCTCATGCTTGTAATCCTCGCTACTCAAGAAGAGAGGCTGAGATCCAAGGATCAATCCCCATTGGAAGCCAGCCCAACGGAAAAGTTTGTGAAACACAAACACTTATCTCCAATTAACCACTCAAAAGCTGGAAGTGGAGGTATGGTTCAAGTTAGAAGGCACCAGCCTTGAGCAAAAATTCTAAGGGATAGTGCTCAGATCCTGAGTTTAAGCCCCAATACTGGAGAGAGAGAGAGAGAGAGAGAGAGAGAGAAAGAGAATAAAGAAACATTTTAAGGCTAAACCTTAGACATTTTGAAAATGTCTAATTAAAGTTTTACTATTTTAAAAGTTCAACATTTAGATCAGAAAGATGTGAAATATATATTTTTCTCCCAATCAGCAACATTCTCTCCGATTTGAACACCAGGGCACAGCTGAGTCCCTGAGAAGTTTTCACCCACAGCTCACTTTGGTTTCGGGAGACAGAAAGTTCAAGTTCAGGATACTCATTTCTTTCACCAATGGCCCGGAAAGGGCTCTCGCTCTCCAGGAAGTTTTATCTGACACTCCTGGAGCTCTGGCCCTGCTCCAGGGTGACTTCTTGAGCCATCCAGGTTGCCCTACCCCGCGCTGGGGGCGCGGTCCGAACTGGGGACATGACACCCGCACGCTCTCCTCCTGCTGGTGCTGATGCAGACCACGTAAGTCCGAAGGCTCCGGGAGAGGAAAGGGGGTCCCTAGCCACGAGCCTCTCCCAGTCCTCCAGCCTGAGCCAGGTGCCTCTGCCCTTCTCTGTTTCCGACTGTGACTCTTTAAAGTAAATCTCTGTGGCTCAGTTCAGGCTAGGGCGAGGAGGGGAGGGGGTCCTAGGACTGGGATCTCAAGTTTATGGGTCCTGGAGTTAGCTGTGACTTTTTTTTTCTGTCATCCTGGAATTTCTCCTCAAAGGCGACCTTGGCTAGGTGCCCCTGAGTATTTCCACACCCGAGTGCCGAGAAAGAATGGGTGGATGTTTGACAGAGTGAACCCACGTGGGGAATTGGCTCATTAGCAGTGGGGTTGTGTCTCTGGATCCTATTCGAATACCCATAGTTATCTTTTCCAGGATAACAAGGGTTTTTGGCTTGTTTGAACTCTTAGCAATTGTTTGTTTACCTGGAAAGACCAGTGTGTGTTATTTTTGAGTCTTGATTTCAAATGAATATGAAGGTCTGTCTTTTTGTTTTAAGCTAGGCTTTGATTTGCAATGTGCTGCCTAATTGCTCCATTTGTAAAAGATGCCCAAATAATGATTGATATTTAAGTGCTGAACTCAATTTTAAATCACTTTCAGCTCTGTGATCTAAATTGACTTTCATTATGCATTGGAAAGTGGGAGCAATTAACAGGTTTCTTGGTTATGTGGCTCTCCAGTTAAATAACTTCCCTCAGATTATAAAAATGTAAGCAATTTGGAACTTTGGTGTTAAGTACTACCACTGTTGCTACACTTGTTTTCTAGCTATGTGCTCAGACTGAGGATATGTACTGTGTCCATGTTTTACAAAATAAGGCACCAATTGCTTACAAGGTAGCATTGTTCAATGATACCCCAGGCTTTGTTGGCAGAGACCATTTCTGCACTTCATAGCTATGATTTTTTCCCCCAGTACTGGGTCTTGAACTTAAGGCCTTGTATTTTTTCCAGTCAAAGTTGGTGCTCTTCCACTTGAGCCACATCTCCACAACCAGCTTTTTGCTAGTTAATTGGAGAAAAGAGTGTCTTGGTTATATCTTCTAGAGCTGGTTTCAAGCTCCTGAATAGCTAGTATGATGGGCATGAGCCACCGGTGCCTGGCCACAAATGATTCTTAAACATCACATCAAATTACTGGTTGAACCATAGACTTTGATGTTGAATAGAAATATTCATTGTTCAGATATACAGAGTTACTACAATTAGTTTGTAGTGTTCTATCACAGGGGAGAGAATAGGAAGCACTTTCTGCCTCTGATATTTTGTGTATTAATTGGAGACATGTCAATAAACAAATGAACAGAAAGATACAAATCATCAATGGTAGCTGATAAATGCTGGAAAGACTTGTGAAGTGGGAATTTCAGGACAAGCCATGCTGTCATCTGTAACCTTTGAACTGAGACCTTGAAAGAAGCAAGGATGACACTGGAACAGAGCTTTCCAGGCAAACTGGGTAGGCCTAGCTAATTGGGCTGAAACAGGTTTCTTAAATGCTACTGTCATTATCTTTTTGCAGGGGACAAGGACTGTCATTGTATGATGTCTGCCTAGCAGCATCCCATTCTATTTTCTGTACTCTAGATTCTAGCTCCTAGCACTCCCACAGTTGGGTGTGACAAGCAGAAATGTCTCTAGATATTGTTAAGTGTCCTTGGATGACAAAATACTCGCTCTTGACAACTGTTCTTTTTTTCCAAGAAATAGGTCTATGTTGCTTATATGCCTATATTACAGGCAGGCATATTCATGTGTATATTTGTAAGGAAAAGTGTATATGTAATATACCTGAAGAAAGAACAAGGAGGACAGGCAGTGACTAGAGGAAGAGAAGTGGGAAGAGGTCCACAGACAAGGTCACAAAGGACCACATTGTGTAGTGTACATTTTAGCTGAGGAGTGACATGATCTGTCATAGGTCTAGAAAGATTGCTGTGAGGACTGTGTGTGAAAATCAAAAGGATGGGAACCACAGTAAGCTGCTACACTACTTCAGAGAAGAAATGATGCAGTAGGCTGAGTGGGAACAGAAGAGGGCTAACAAACATGTATTTTAAAGATTTACTAATGGATCTACATGTTGCAAGAAAGAAAAAATTCAAATATACTTGTTATAAATTATGTATTTTATGTTATATATTTTATTATGAATTTTATTATTTTATATTACATGTATTTTGTTATGTATTTTATTAGCATTCTTATTTATTTATTTAGTGCTGATACTTGGGCTTGAACTCAGGGCTCCACACTTACTTGGCTTTTTGCTCAGGCTGGTATTCTACCACTTGAGCCACACCTCCACCTTAGGCTTTGACTGGCTAATTGGAGATAAGAGTCTCAAAGACATTTCTTCCCAGGCTGGTTTCAAACCACAAACTTCAGATCTCATCCTTCTAAGTAGCTATGATTACAGATGTGAGCCACCAGTGCCAGGCTTTTTATTTTTATTTTATTGAATAATGCAATGTCCACATATGTGAAGACCAAGGAAAGCCATCAAAAATCAAGAGCCTGGATTGGGGCATGTTAGTTAGCCTAGAGTCTGGTACCAGAGATGAAATTTAGCCTAGAGTCTGGAACCAGAGATGAAATTTAAAACCCATGATTTATTTATCCAACAAAAATTTGTGGAACATCTGCCAGAGGCCAGGTGCCCTTCTAGGCAGTAGAGCCCTATAGCTAAACTCCCTTGTCCTGATATTGCCTGGAGATCTAATCCTTCCAGCTTCTTGGAGCTCCTTTTTGTGTTTGCAAAGAAATTTCCCCTAGTTATCAGCAGATCTTCTAGCATCTCATTGCCAGCATTTGCACCTCCATTGCTCGGTCCCAGGGTTTAATCCCTCTTATCCTTGCTCCTAAGAAGCTGAAATATGAGGATCACAGTTCAAAGCCAGCCCAAGCACTCAAATCTGAGACTCTTATCTCTAATTAACCAGTAAAAAGCTGTAAGTAGAGCTGTGGCTAGAGCCTTAAGTGAAAAAGCCAAGTGAGAGCTTGAGACCCTAAAATCAAGCCTTAGTCCCAGCACATGCAGATAAAAAAAAGTGTTCAAATAAAAAAATCACTACATCAAATTTCTCAAATATTGGACCTAATTAGTTCCAAGCACCCACTCTTGAATTCAACTATCATAACAGGAGACACGGGATTTTCTAGAATCTGTGATGTTGGCCCCAACATAACCTGACATCCTGAGTAATGAGGCAGAGTACAGCAAGAGAGTGACCAAGGCAAGTGCATAGTGAGAAAGAATCTAGGACTGTGATGTCTAGAGGGAAGCCAGCGCTGCAACTCTCACCAGACAGAACTGGCGGTATAACATGTTTCACGTATGTGCCCCTTGGTCAATCCTGCTTCCCAGGCTGAAGGTCTGCTGCTCTCTTTCCAAGGTCTCACTCACTACAGTTCCTCAGGTCTCGACCTTGGCCTGCCCTTGTTTGGGGCTTTGGGCTGTGTGGATGACCAGCTGTTTGTGTCCTATAATCATGAGAGTTGCTGTGCTGAACCCCGGACCTCATGGGTCTTGGGTAGAGCATCCAGCCAGCTGATTCAGTCTGAAAGGGTGGGGTCCTATGTTCACTGTTGACTTCTGGACCATAATGAACAACCAAAACCACAGTAAGGGTATGTGGACAGGGGCCTAGCTTTCCTGAGATGATCAAAGCATTTCCCTTTCTTGGGGATGTATCTTAGAGAACTATGTGGGGGAGGTGGGAAAGAAGGGGGATTATTTTGGTCTATAGTATCTATGGTGGGAATAGAGCCCTTACTCCTTTGGTTTTAGTAATAAGATGGATGTTTCCAGAGTTCCACACCATATAGGTGATCCTGGGCTGTGAGGTTCATGAAGACAATAGCACCAGTGGGTTCTGGAAATATGGGTATGATGGGAAAGACTACCTGGAATTCTGCCCTGAGACTCTGGATTGGAAAGCAGCAGGGCCCAGGGCCTGGGCCACCAAGACAGAGTGGGAAACACACACAATTCAGACCAAGCAGAACAAAACCTACCTGGAAAGGGACTGCCCAATGCAACTGCAGCAGCTCCTAGAGCTGGAGAGAAGGGCTCTGGACCAGAAAGGTATGGGGGAATGTATCCTCTTGACTTATATTGTAGTGATGAAGTAGAGAGAGGTACAAAGTCCAGGGGCTCAGAGATGGTAGAGTTTCAGGGGGAAGTTATATAATTCTCCCAAGTTCTTCAATCTTATATACTGGTAACTATGACCTAGCCATAAGTCATGATTTTGTGTGTATGTGTGTGTGTATGTATTTAATTGGAAATATGAATCTCATGGACTTTCCTGCCTGGGATGGATTTAAACCAGATCTCAGCCTTCCAACTAGCTAAGATTGCATGAGCCACTGGCACACAGCAGCTTTACTTATTTTCTTCTAATGTATAACCAAAAAAGGAAATACCAGCAGCCCTCTTTTGATTTAACCAAGATTTCCCATGAAAAGGTATAAATATACCTTGCAGAAGGACTACAGAGATGTCAATTGTCACATGAATACCAAGACAAGAAAATTCCAAGTGAGGCAACCCTACCAGCTTAACAAGACCTTATCATACAAAATTATGTTCTCGGTTGAACCAAATGAAATTGATTGTTCCTCTCAGTTTTGATTCACAGGAAGGTAACTTTTATCTGTCAGACTAGAGGACATGATAAACAGGTGTACATATTCACACAAAAGACAGGAGAACAGGCAGATAGGACTGTGACTGTTTCCATGTGACACTGAATTAGAGCCAAATCTTGGAAACATTTTTAGAACACAACATGGAGTCTCTCCTGCATTTTGTTATATCTGAAAAGGGTCTACTCTTCCTCCATCCCACGGAGGCAAGTGAGTGAAAGCTCCTGTTTTCCTGGGAAGGGTAAAAAGATCCTCTCTCTGCACCCTACCTCTTTCTTGACAAATGCCTCCTTTGGTGAAGTCACTCATCATGTGGCCTCAGCAGTGACCACTCTACAATGTCAAGCTTTGAACTTCCACCCACAGAACATAACCATAAGATGGTTGAAGGACAGACAGCCATTGGATGCCAAAGAAGTCAAGCCTCAGGATATATTACCAAATGGAAATGGGACCTACCAGAGCTGGGTGATTGTGGCTGTGGCCCCTGGGGAAGAGCAGAGATATACCTGCCAGGTGGAACACCTAGGCCTGGATCAGCCCTTCATTGCCACTTGGGAAAAGGATCAAGCCAAGGGCTGAGAAAATCCATTGTGGGGAAAACAGGAGTGGTCTCTATGGCCCTGAGGGAAGGATATACTCTAGGTTGGGAGTGACAATCAAGGGCTTGAACTGGGCTTTAAAAAAAAAAATTTAGAGCCTTCACCATCTAGCAGCCTGGTCACGGGAGTTATCAGTGGGATCACTGCTTGTGTCATCATCTTCATTATTGGAATTTTGTTCTGAACCTTAAGGAAGAGGCAAGTTTCAAGTAAGTAGGAACAAGGAGGAAGTATCTTTGTGCCTCTATCCCAGGGGAAAAGATAGTTTTCCTGCAGAAAATTGAGCTGAGGGGAAGTCCCAGCATGAGAAGACTTTTCTGCTCTTACTTTTTTTGGGGGGGAGAAGGAAAGGTTTTTCTTTTTTCCTCCTCAAAAATGAAAGTTCCTGATTCAACAAACATCTGTTGAGTAGCTACTACTTTAGAAAAAAAAAAAGATGCTGCTTAGAGTTGAGACTTGGAGGTTAAGCAAGTTACTGTGCCTATTTTCAGATCTTAAATCTAGTACAGAGTGAAGTGTATGACAAATGCACGCAGTTAATCAAGACCTCTGAGGTCCCAAGAAAGGTGAATTAAAATGATTTGATGTGTCACAAGAAAGAATGGTTGTATTAGCTGGAGATCAGAAAGGTTTCTGGACCAAGGCTTCCCATGCCTACAATCCTAGCTACTTACGAGTTGGAGATAGGAAGATTATGGTTTTAGGCCAGCCTGGGTGAAAATACAGACCCTATCTGAAAAAAAAAATCTAAAAGGCAAAGGGCTTGAGAGCCTGGCACAGTAAATGCAAGGCTTTGAGTTCAATTCCTGGTGCTTGAACTCAGGGCCTGGGCACTGTCCCTTAGCTTTTTTGAGTAAGGCTGGCATTGTACCACTTGAACCACAGCTCCACTTCCAGGTTTTTTTGGTGATTAATTGAAGATGGGGAAGGGGGAGGCGACTTGAAGGAGAAGTGGGATTTATCTGGATGAGCCTGACACTGAGGGTGAGGAAAGGTCTATACAGCAAAGTAGGAGAGTGTGAAGCACACTAAGAGGGAGGGAGGATTGCACTTGTCCCCTGACTTTACCAACCTGCGTTTCTACTCTCTGAATATTTGTTGTGTGGGGACAAGAGAGGAAAACAGAAGCCAGATAGTGCAAAGTCTTGGACTCTTGGCACCATTATGTCATAATCACATTGAGGCAAGGAGTGACAGAATTTCCTTTGTGAGATAAATGAGTTTCCAGGAAGGAAGAGGAGAGACTCTGAGAGCAGTTAGAAAGCCAGTGACAATTCCAGATAAGAGACAAATGTTACAGGAAATCCAGTACTGCCCCTGGACAAGAGTTGTCAGTGTTAGTTGGGAGGGTGAATGAAGAAGGTGAGATGGTGTCTGTGAAGACGCTCCCTGGGTCTCTTGTACAAGAGGAGCCACGAGGGACTATGTCTTAGCTGAATGGGAGTGAAATGAAGCTTGCAGCTCTGTTGGGGAGAAGAGACACAAGCAGAAACTGAAAGGAGCCCTGCCTTGCTGTTTCACATTTCAAGATGAAGTTGTAGCAAACAAGCAGAGAAGGCACAAAGGAATAATCTGCTTCTAGCTTTCCCTTTCAGAAGTTTTCTCATACAGATCTTTGTTTGCTGTATGACAGTGACCCACACTCTTCATTTCTTTCATCAATATAGACCATATACACCTATGGCATCTCATCTCCCATCTCTCTAAGACAGTTCCCTCAATTTGAGGGAATGTGTAATTTAACATCTCAAAAAGGTTATGAGCTTTTGCCTTGAGACACTCGCTCCTATATCCTTCACCAGAATTTTGCACACACATCTGGCATCTAGGACCCACTCTGTCTGCTTTCAGCTCTCTCTCTCTCTCTCTCTCTCTCTCTCTCTGTGTGTGTGTGTGTGTGTGTTAGCTAGTAACTTATCTGTTCTTAGGCCCTGGGTTCTCTTCCTTGAGAGTACAATCTGTTTCGTGTATAGCTGTGAAGGCTGTATATTGCACAACCCAAGGAGACAACTTTTCTGGAACATTTTGGGTGAATGTTTGTATGCAGTTTTCAGCAGGTGGGAAGGAAGTCTCTTCAAGGGGTTTACCGAGAGGAGATTTTTTTCTAACTTGCACAAAGAAGTCTATGGATTTTCAAATATTAATAATGCCTGCATTTCTGATACATCTCAAATATCCTAGATTTGAAGTTCCTTCTTGATCATGAAAATCATGAAAAGGATATTCATAATACTGATAATGTAGCTTTCATTTATTTTCTAAAAACACTTGGTGTTTCTGTTCTGACCAATGTAATGCTATTTACATTTATTATTGCATATATGATTTATAATAATTTTTATGGAATAGCTATCATTATTTCTCCCTCCTCGTCCTCCTCTTCCTCTCTTCCTCTTCCTCCTCCTTCTCCTCCTCCTCTTCCTTCCTTCCTTCCTTCCTTCCTTCCTTCCTTTCTTCCTTCCTTCCTTCCACTGATGATTGAATGAAAGGATTGTATGAAAGGCCTAATGTCTGCTAGGCAAGGGCTCTATAACTTGAGCTATGACCTCAGATCCCAGACCTTTTTTTGTTCTTGTTGTTGCTCATGTAGATACATTCGTATTTTTTGCCTGGGACCCACCTCTGACTATAATATTCCTACCTGTCTCTCAGGTAGCTGGAATTGCAGTTGTCCACCACTATAGTCAGATTGTTTATCAATTTGGAGTATGGCTTTTTGCCAGAGTTGGTCTAGAACCTAGGAACAATAGGTGCTTTTAGGATTTCTCTGTGCCAGATATGTGTTCCCAGTCCCATTACTCTTTGTAAACATTTGCAGCTATTTAATGTCTTGAAGAAAAAAGCAACACATACATGTAGCATAGCCCCTTTAGGTCTTCTAACATCTAGTTATGGTGGGAAAGTAGCTACTGGCTGGTTTTGTTGTTAAGTTTCTGTTTCCTAGTTTTAATATCTGAATTTGGCCTTTTGAGTATTTGTTAATGTTAATTTCCCTGTCTCTTCATATATCCTATTTCCAAACAATCTAACCAAGGCAATTTAGAAATTAAATTTTAAAAATGTGATTCCTCAAATGACCTTGCTCAAAGGTGTGATGTATATATATGTGTATGTATGAGAGAGAGGGAGGGACGGAGGGAGAGAAAGAGAGAGGGAGAGAGAGAGAGAAAGAGAGAGATTCATCCAGATGGCATGTGTTTACTTTATTCTGCTACATACATGTGGTTTGGTAACTGTGGTGTATGTATTCTGTCTTAGAGGGAAAGTGTCTAAGGAAACCAAGCATAGCTCAAAAGTTTGTTTGGTGGGCACTAAATTGGAGTAGAGAGCTCAACATATTTTTTAAACCTTTTTATTTTCTTCTGGCTATGAAAGTTACATAGAAATAAAAGTAAAATTTGTACTTATTGTGTTAAAGTTGAAAATGAATAGAATGAAAACTATAACTAGTGATTAAACTGCATTAACAACTTGTGTATCCTGTTAGTACTTCTACTGTTGAAATATATGATTAACAAATAAATGTTAATAAGTGTACAATTGTGCTGTATAGTGAGTGATTTCACTGATGTGTTTGTCTATATTGTGTTGGTTCTTAACTATTATATCATTTGAGGAACATTTATATTACTTGTATTTTTCTCTAACATATTTTGTTTCATGGAGTATTTTCACTAAAACATAATATCTGAATTGTAGGGAACTTCCTGTCTATGTTGTGACACACTAGTTATTTTAACTGTCCATACCATATAAAGCAACAGCAAAGGTTTTCTCTTATTCTTCTACCACCTGAGCCGATATGTTACAATTAATTAGACAATTGCTTATTTTATATTGTTTTTCACAGCTTAGAATTACAATAAATTCTCTCATCTTCATAATAACACATTTACAAGATGCTAGCAACTATAACCTTTCAGTGGTATTTGCCAAGAAATTATAAAACTCTGTTTTACTTCAGTGGTAAATCTATTTTTTGTGTTACTTTGCTTATTTTTTCTGGTTTGGTCATCTATTTTTAAAGTTAACTACACTTGAAAAATTGAATGCCTACATTTCACCATTGTTAAACATCGTATCAAAGGGTGGTAGTAAGGGGAAGCACGACATCTTGTGGCCTTAACCACACATACCACAGTGGTCACATGACTAGAGAGCTAATGCGGGGAGGGGAGGGAATGCCCTTTTTTCCTGAGAGCAAAGAGTTACATAGAGGCTGGTACAACTACCAACACTTGCAGATGAAAGCTCATGAATGCTAGAGAACACAGCTTACCAGCTAGAATCCCAGACATGCTGAGTTGCCTGAACTGGTAACAGAACAAAAGAAAAACAACCTGGGAGGTAAAAGCTGAAATTTTTCTCATATTATATATGATGTGTGCTTAATGTTGCTGTGGTTACTTGAATCATTATGAAATACTCTTCGTGATCACACTTTAAAAGATAAATACTTTCTATGAATGGCCAAAATTTCTCATTAGATTATGTTTTAAACTGCTATTTATTTTTTCTAATTAACTACAGTGAATGCAACAGTGACAATCACTCTAATTTGCATGACTTTAAACATTAAACACGTTCATGTATGGCTCGGTATTTATAACTTTGAATCTGTGGAATCTGGATGATAATTTGTTCTCTTTTTGTTTCAACGAATGACCCCTGGATTATAACAATATTACAATATTTCTGCATGACATTACCATTTTGTATACACAACGTATTGTTATTTTCACAATTCAAAAGCATGTAGAGCCTGGTGCCTGTGGCTTATGCCTGTAATCCTACCTACTCGAAATGCTGAAAGCTGACGGTTATGATTTGAAGCCAGCCTGGGCAAGAAAGTCCATGAGACTGTTATCTCCAATTAACGACCAAAAAAAAACCAGAGTAGAGCTGTGGCTCATGTGGTAGAGTGTTAACCTTGAGCAAAAAAGCTCAGGGACAGTGCTCAGGCCCTGAGTTAAAAGCCCAGGACTGGCACACATGCACATACATACACATACACACACACACACACACCCATGTTGAGATTCTAGAAATTTCCCAAAGACCTCAGGCATTGCACTTTTACTCTGTAAAGCTTGATCTTCAAGCTTTACAAGGTATTTGTGGTAGGAAGTGGATGGTAGAGGCTGAGTTCCTAAAAACTCAATTTTGGGGTAAAAAAATACCACTTAATTATTTTTAAAGTTTTAGAAACTAAATGTATTTTGAGTTCTCCTGCTGTTTTTGAGCATCTTTCCACTTGTCTTTCTCTTTTTATGTGAGCAAGTTTGATGCTAACCTATGCTGTAGTTCTCAGGTCACAGTTTTCATTCTGTTTTCAAATAGGGATTTGTGTATTAACTACAGTGTGGGAAGGTTGGGTGATTTCTTATTGGTATATTGGCTTACTTATTTATTTTTAAGTTTAATAATTCTTAAGGTGGAAATTTTCAAAAGCTGCAGCAAGAATCTAGGGAGAATTTGTGTCTTGAGAGGTTTCCTGAACCATATTCAGTCCAAAATCTATAGATTACTACCATTCAGGGTAGCACTCTTTATGACTGGTAGCTGAAGGAAAACCCATGGTACTTTGAAACAAAAAGACCTCTTTCAAGGCCACCCACTAAGTCATGAAAAAGGCTGAGATACTTTGTCAGAAATACTTTAAATTTGACCAGTTACCTTCACTGTAACAAGTGATAAAAAGTTGAAAAGTAAGCCCCATATTGGCATTTATAGAGCTCATTGTGATTTTTGAAATCTTGTCATACTAACATGGTGATAAAATAGGTTTTTTTGAAAAGCAAAGATGGAAGCTGAGCACTAGTAGCACATGCCTGTAAGCCTAAGCTGCTCAGGAGACTTAGGTCACATTTTATGGCTCATACTGCACAAATCCTCCCCTCCCCAAATCATTTGCAAAGAAGCACTTTCTATAACTCATGTTTTGTGAAGGGTCAGATTCTATGGCTTAAAAAAAAAAAAAAAAAGTCCAAAGGAAAAAAAACCTTCTAATAGGCTCCTCAAATTAGAAGAAACTTGAGTGGCTAACTTGGTTTTTTTGTTTTTGTTTTTTGCCAGTCCTGGCGCTTGAACTGAGGGCCTGAGTGCTGTCTTGAACCTATTTGTGCTCAAGGCTAGCGCCCTCTACCACTTCAGCCATAGCACTACTTCCGGGTTTTCTGCATAGTTTATGGGAGATAAGAGTCTCACAGGGCTGGGAAGGTGGTTCAGCGAAAGAGTGCTTGCCTTGAATGTATGAGGCCCTGGGTTTGATTCCTCCACACCACATAAATAGAAAAAAGAAAGGCCAGAAGTGGCACTGTGGCTCAAGTGGTAGTGTGCTAGCCTTGAGCTGAAGAACTCAGGGACAGTACCCAGGCCTAGAGTTCAAGCCCCATGACTGACCAAAAAAAAAAAAGTCTCAGACTTTTCTGCCTGGGTTGGCTTCAAACTGTGATCCTCCAATCTCAGCCTCCTGAATAGCTAGGATTACAGGCATAAGCCACCAGCGCCCAGCAGTTAGCTCATTTTAAACATCATATACCGTGATCTACTGAAGAGCTGGAGGCACAGAATTATACACAACCCCCCCTTTTTTTGTTTTTATTTTTTGTTTTTGTAGGTTGTGGGGCTTGAACTCTGGGTCTAGGCCCTTCACTGAGCTCTTCAGTTCAAGGCTAGCACTCTACCACTTGAGCCACAGTGCCACTTCTGGCATTTTCTGTTTATGTGGTGCTGAGGAGGAATTAAACCCAAGGCCTCATGCATGCAAAGCAAGCACTCTACCACTGAGCCACTTTCCCAGCCCACACAAACCCGATTTTAGGGGGATCCCCCTGGCATTGAAAGACATGTTGGCTGCTAGCCATTTATCTTCATCCCTGAGGGATATTTAAGATAGCCAGTAGCTGGCAGAGTGGTCAGATAAGGGTCACATAGCCGTACTAGAATAATAAAACCATTCTTATACTATCTTCCCAAACCAACCTCACAGGAACCATGTTCATCATATCCAGTACAGCAAGGGCTATGGTTGAAACTACAGTGAAGCCATTTATGTTTAGTTGTTCCCTATTTTAGTACAAAAACCAAAAAGGTCCAATTACACAAGGGAGTGTGGAGAAGTGAGTACCTAAGGAACCATCCGAAGAACATCCTTATATGTCAAGTAATAAAGCGTATAGTTTTGTCTTGGGCTTTAATCAAAGCTACTCCAGTATGGAATTAATATTTATAATAATCACCAGGGCAGAACAATCATGGTAGTGACTGGCTGAGATGACTATTGGCTTCAAGATTCCAAAGAAGCATCTCCTGGACTGAAGCAAGCCCTGTATTCATGAAAGACACAAGACTTGGTCTGTCCTGGCATGCTGACATACTGGTTACTACTCAGAAAAGGACACTCTCTTATAGGTCCTTTCTCTGGAAGTAGAAGAAGGAATTGGGAACTATAGGTTCTGGTCAACTACTTTGGAAGAACTTCTCAAAGTCCCAAACAAATGATGTCTGGCTTAAAAAAAAAAAAGGGCAACTAACATTTAATATACAGACTATGTGTAAAGGCAAGATTTTGGCACTAAAATGTTACTGTAAAAACACTAAACCACAAATTAAGAGAAAATCCAAGCATTTAAAAGAAAGGCACTTCAGCTCAGACTCAACTTCCTGGTACAACTTTTTAACTTAGGAAGGTTGATTTCAATGTTGATTTCAACATGGAACTACAAATGTTTCCATTAAGGTTTCAAGTTCTTAACATTTTACAGCCTATTGTGTGTTCTGATTTTCAGTTGACATGTTCTTTTTATAAATTATACATATTAGAATTACAATCTCATTAGGCCATAGTATTACACAATTTTATAATAATTACCAGTAATATATGTGCATTCCTTGGTACGCTAGACATCTAATAGTATAAACACGATCCAATATACTTGCAACTGTACCCAAACACTAAAAGGCATTTTTGTCATTTTGGTGACTCCAACTTTCACCTAGAGGCTAATTTTCCTTAAAGCTATTTCTCTCTATCCCCAATGCTCAGACACCAGGGCTTCATATTTGATCCTTTCAAAGTCTGAAGACCAGGAAAACCTAGGTATAATGATAAACATAAACTGGAGGAGGGGGGGAGATTGGAATAACAAATTGATGGCTACTTTCACATACATCTCCCTTTGATGGCTATTCCTAGAATAGAGTGGACATTTACATGCAAGCTCTCCTTAAACTCCCAACTGTGCAGGAGGGATGAAATAAAACACACAAGAAGCTCAGAGTTTGCCCTCTTAAGATCTCCATTGAGCCCATTGACTTTGACTTCACTTCATCGCAACCCCCAACTTGCTCAGTGACTTCTAGTCAAATGCTGAGCCCTTTTAAAACTATTTAGGTGGCTCTTAAAAGAGCCTTTGGGTTCTTTGAAAACTGGTTTTGTTTAAAGCTCTTCACTTCGACGTTGCCTTCTTTGTAGCTTTCTGCAGGCCCAGCTTTGGCTTGCCAGCTTTGGGCTTCCCTCCAGTCACCTTCGCCGGACTCTTGCGCTGTTGAATGCCCTTTGCCCCTTTGCCTTTCCTTCCACTGCCGGCGGTTTTCTTAGGTGTAGCCTTCGGCTTCTTGACGCCCTTGTTGTTCTTGGCGTTCTTTTGAGATCTCGAATCCCTGGATAACACCAGCTTCTTGGACTTTCCAGGCTTTTTGGCTTTGCCCTTTGTTTCAGGAGCAGCCTTTTTGCCGAGTTTGAAGGATCCGCAGGCACCAGTGCCTCTGGTCTGAACCAAAATCCCCTTGTTCACCAAGCTCTTCAGAGCCAGCTTGATGCGGGTATTATTCCTCTCCACGTCGTAGCCGGCAGCTGCCAACGCTTTCTTGAGCGCGGCCAAGGACATCCCTGACCGTTCTTCAGACATGGACAGAGCATCAGTGATCAACTTGGATACTGAGGCATTCCGAACATTGCGACTGGCACCAGTCAAACCAACGGGTTTCTTCCCTCGCTTTTTGACCGGAGGCTTCTCCATAATGCCCGGAACAGGTACAGTCGAAGCTGCGGGAGCCGTCTCGGACATAACACTGCAGACAACCGTGAAGCATAAAAACCGGCAACAAGTGCAAAGTGCCCCAGGCCCCTCAGCGCCTTATATAGGGCAGGGCGCGCTGTGATTGGTGCATCTCTCAGGCGCCACCAACGCCCATGAGAGGGAGAATTTGTGTTTGTTTTACCCTCAAAAGTTGAATCCCCCAAATTTGCTCTGGACAGAATCACCCAGGTTCCACTGCCAGATGATCCGTGGGGACCCAGATTTCACATGTCTTTTTATCTTTTAATGATAAATGACCTTTCATGCTAAAACTATTCAAGAAAGCCTTCAATTTGCAGCAGAAGTCAAGGAGAGAAATCAAACTTCCACTTTTCATTGTAAATTCAAAAAGTAACTTTTGGCAGAAAACTTATTTCATCTCATCTGAGTGGTCTTCTATATAGATGGCTTCTAAGTGGTGAAGAAAATAAATTATTCTTATCCCAATTTTTATTGAAAATTAGTTATATGTGTGAAGGAAGTAACACAGTTTTCTTGGGCTATCTCTCTGTGGAGTTAGACAATATGTACTAGACTTTAATAAAAATTTCAGGTTATGTGCTTATTCAGGTAAACTTATTTAGGTAAGCATAATGCAATAAGGCCTAATCTACACAGCATAAATTGTCTGTGACAAAAGCTACTTCATGTCTGAAGCAACATAGGAAAACCCATAAGGATGGAGTAAAACAATGACTGTGTCTCCACTACTGAGTTTTTCTTCTCTTTTCATAAATAATTATGTATCATGAGTCAGGAACCTTGGCCTGAATAGCCCAGTGGAAACCACAGATCCAAGCTGTGCTAGATGTGTCAGAAAAGTGATACTCTGTTAAAGCTTCCCCTGGGAGGCCTTTGTGATAAGGCTGGAGCTAAATGCTTGATCATGAAGGCCAGGCCTTTCAGGAGAATACTAAGAAAAGCTCAATGTGACTGGAACCCAAGGTTTCAGATGAAGAAAACCCCTTAAGACTATTTTGTGAAGATCCTCAAATGTCTGTATGATAACTTTGGTAATTATTATAGGCCAAAGAACTGTAGGAGTTTATGTTTTCTTTTCTTGAGACAAAGTTCAACTCATGATCTGCCTGCTGTGCAAATTGTGGGACAAACATAGCCTATTCTTCCATCCCTCCCTCCTCCCTGCCCCACCCCCTTGTACATGCAAGGCAAGCACTTAAGCAAACAATCTTGGCCAGTTGTTGACCTAGTTTTCTCCTTTGAAAAAAAGGTACAGGGGGATGGGAAGGTGGCTCAGTGGTAGAGAGCTTGCCTTGCATGCATGAGGCCCTGGGTTCGATTCCTCAGCACCACATAAGCAGAAAAAGCTGGAAGCAGCACTGTGGCTCAAGTGGCAGAGTGCTAGCCTTGAGCTGAACAGCTGAGGAACAGCGCCCAGGCCCAGAGTTCAGGGCCCATGACCAGCAAAAAAATATATACGTGTGTGTGTGTGTGTGTGTGTGTGTGTGTATAAAGATAGGTGATTTGCATGACCTATATTGCATTTAAAAAGGACTCAAAATGCTCAACAACATAGAACTAATCACATAAGTCTCCATTCATAAATACTAAACATCTATAATTGATTTTAACTGTAGCTATAAAAAACTATTTACATCACAACACATATTTGTTTTATACATGGTATTTATTTATTACATACATGTAGATCATATATTCATATTTATATAGGTAATTACCTCACATATATGTAAAAAGAATAGGAGATACTAGGAAAGATAGTCTTTGTTGTACATTTCTGTTTTTCACAGATTTCAACAATAAACATTTAATATTTTTATACTTGGAGGGAAAAAACTAATGTTTTGGTATTAAAATACTGGTTGCTTATCTTCTTCTAATATCATCCATTTTCATTATTTCATTTGTGAGATGAAACAGAGTCCAGCATAGAAAAGATATGTCTAACGGCTGCTTCTCCTGTTTAAAAAAAAAAAAAGACCAATTTAGTTCTTTAATTCATCAGATATCTGATATTCTGACTCTGAGAATAATGGTATGTTTTCTCATTCTAGAAAATTACTTAAGCACTTTATAGATAAATGTGTTGGTAAAATTTTTACATATGTGTCCAGAATACCTAGAATTTAAGAGAGGAAGGATTTACTTTAGCTCATAGCTTCAGAAATTTCAGACCCGCATAGTGGGGAAGCATTAGCAGACCAGATCAAATCACGGTGGGCAGGAAGCAGACTGAATATAGGAAAGGGCCAGAGCAACATGTGGCCCCAAGGACACCCCCTAACCTCAGTGACTTATATACTCCATAGATCCAACCTCCTACTTTTTTTTTTTAACAACTCCCAATAAGGCCATCATCGTATGTCTCCACCAAAGGATTATTAGTACTTATTTAGTTATAACCTTCAGAATCCAGTCACATTCAAAAGCCCATCAGCCAACAAGGTACCCAACACATGAGGCTGAGGGGGAGCATTTCATAGTCAAAATATGATAGTAATGCATTCAGTTATTGCAACAACTGCCATTTTCCCTGCGCTATAGATGAGGAGATAAGGCATTCATTTCCCAGGTAGTACAGCTGTTGAGTGGTGGGCCTCTTCCATGAACCCACATACTGTATACTTGTGTGTGTATATTGCTAAAACAAATGATGACTGTGACCTAGTCAGTGTCCCATGAATACCATTTTAGAAAAATATTAAAGAATATGAAGTTGTCAGGTGAAAAGAGTTTTTTGCAAAGGAGACACACATGCCAAGGTGAAAAGACTGTTTAAAATGGTCACGTTAGATTGGCCATGATCTGGTAGAGCTACCAGTGAGGGATACCAAAGGTCCTTGAATGATGACAGGTTACATAGTTCATGCTTGTTATTCACACCAAGAGCAGTTGTTAAAAGTTCTTAGAAAACTGGGAGAGAATGAGGAAAAGGGTGGCACTGTCCCAAAAGAAATGTACTCATTACCTCACCTATATAACTGTACCCCTCTGAACATCACCCTTATGATAATAAAAGTATAAAAATATAAAAATCAAGCCTTCTCTTCATAAAGTGAAAAAATAAGTTCTCAGAAGCATCCCTTCTGTCAAGTTCTAATCCCTTTGAGTAGATGGCAGAGGAAATGACTCCATGCCTTCTTTCTTTTTAAAAAGTGATATCAAACAAAATATATCGAATGGAAAAGTGACCAAATAAATGCTCTTTCTTGAAGTATTATAAAATGTATTTTTTTCCTTCTTCTTGACAACATAATAATAATGAATCCTGTTTTATGCTCTCCACATGTTGGAATCAGCTGTAGAGAAAGGTATGCAGTGTTTGCTTAATAGAGAATCATCTCAACTATCTCTGGGCTGAACCATTAGTCTGCCAGGAAGATGTGGGTTTCTGTGACAAGCATTCCCACAATCAGCTCATTTGAGGGTTTGAAATTGTGACTCATACTTGTTACATCAAACATAACTTCATTTTTGAGAGATTTTTTTGGGGGGGGTCTGGTTGTGGGGCCTGAACTCTGGGCCTGGGCACTGTCCTTCAGCAATTCAGCTCAAGGCTAGCACTCTACCACTTGAGCCACAGCACCACTTCTGGCTTTTTTTTTCTTCTTGCTGAGGAATTGAAACCAGGGCCTCAAGCATGTAAGGCAAGCACTCTATCACTGAGCCACCTTCCCAGCCCTGAGAGATTTTTGTTACATCTTTGCATGAACTTGCTTAAAAGTGGATGGGGATAATCAAAGTCATGTGGATTTGATAAAGATCTACTTGGAAGAAGAGCCTGTAATCAGTGTAGTCACAAAGAAGTTATTCCTTCCTATTGGTGAGGGTCATGGTCTTTGACCATCTCTACAAACTCAAGATACCATCTTTGATGTTCCCATGCTTATGGATTGCCTCCAGCCCAGTAGCTTTAACAAATGTAGTGTACATGTTCTCTTAGACACTATTGAAAAATCACCAAACTTAAAGACTGTGCTGAAAGTAACCCCATACCTCTGTGTACTCTCATGCATCTGTACACCTACCTTCCTAATTTCACACATACAATCAACACAGTAAAAATAATAGTGAAGGATAATAGGACTTTATTTCTCCATTTTTCATGATTGGTTTATCCCTAAAGGGCTTCCTTTATGCTTTCCCACTAACATTTTACTCCTGGACTATAAAGTTAATATGGCAAAACACTAGAACACTGCCTGGTACTTATTCAACATCACAGTTAGCTACTATTATCATATTAAGCATTTGCATTGATATTCATGTTTGCAATATCATATCATATCAACTATATATAATCTCCCTTTCCCTGTTTTGTCTTTACCCTTTTCCTAGACCTTATCCTTTGGTTGAAGTCTATATACTTAAGTTCTACTGTTTGCTGCCAGTCTTCTCCAGTAGAGACATTAAGTTCCTGAGAGTAATGACTTTCTCCTTTTCTAGGGAATTAGCCATTGACAATGGCTCCAAAGCAGCTGGAGGAACAAGAACCAGACAACGAGTTCTTCAGGGTCAGGGCAAAGTGAAGAAGCTCCCTCTGTCAGTCATCTAAGAATTGGCCTGTATTCAACCTGAGCTAGATATTGTTATGGCTAATGAAAAGCCCTTGTAGAGCCCTTTAATAGGAACCAAAGGGTTAGAGGAATAAGAGAAAGGGAAAGAAGAAGAGGGGGAAGACAAAGAAGAACAGGACATAATAACAGAATGTACTTGCTCCTCACACATCAAACCTTGCTTTTTACCTGCATACGTACACTGACAGCCTCTTGCTTCACTGGGAGATATGTGAGGCTGAGAATAAGTTATGGCCAATGGAAGGCATTCAGAAATGATGTGTGCTACTTCTAGGCCTGGTTCATGACAATCTCTCTCACAATGGCACTTGTCTTTCTTCCACTGTCTGTTGGACTGATGTGGAATTTCCAGCAGAGATTTCTAGGACCCAAGGATACCCAATGTACAAGGTGGAAGATGTTCTTCCTGAAAGTGGAACCTCATCCTCT